AACTGGGGCTGAAATTTGTATGTTTAGTTGCGAAACTTCTTTAATTACGTCCTCTATATCTTCTGTTGCTCTACGCTTCTTGCTGAAAAACAATTTATATTATTTAGCTGTGAACTTAAACCTTTTTCTTTTGTTTTGATATACCTGCTTGTACTTTTCTCTACTAAAGAAACCTCCGGTAAAGTAACTAATTCGGTCATATATTTTTCAAGTTCTCCGCATTCAACCTAAAAGCATGTCATTAAAACGAATAATTATAGAAAATGTTTTTTTTTACATTCAAGTTTGCGGGAATCTCTCGTAGAGGCATTGACACTTCTCTCAGCGTGATCTCGTCTGATCGTCGATGAACTTCCATGGAGGCACTTAAACGTTCAACGTGTTTGTCAAATTGTGCCAGACTTCTCTCTAGTGAAGCTAATGCGTCTTCCGGCTGATTTTCTTTATTATTCTCCGCGGCTGGCGTCTTTGTTCTTATCTTCTTAACACGTTTAACAACAGCCAATGGAGTTTCAGCTATAAACACATACATGTATTATACGAAGTTAGTTTTGAGTCAAACAACTTACAATCTCCATCATCCATTCCTCCTTTTGGCGACATAATCCTGTAAAAAGTATAAATAATACCATCATATTATACAATATAAGATTATAACTTACGCCTGAGAATCAACGTAATACTTATACAAATCATTAAATAATAATTGCACTTGTCTTCCATAAACTCTCAAAATGCCGCTTGTCAACTTTGAGGATAAAAACAAAGACATACGTTCCTCAGGTTTCGTGCTTCTTGAGCAAACTAACTTTACCACTTCATCGCTGAAAGCAATCATATTTGTATTGTCATCAGTAAAAGTAGTTACATATATGTATATTACCTAATTACGCAAATATCTATTGATAAAACTTCCTTGTCTTTGAGTTTATTGACGCCGCAATTTGCCGCTTTCCATATGAGGCAAAATTTGCCACCTTTAGTGAGTGTTTTTAAATCAAAAAACATCTGCAATTCAGTAAATATTATAATTCTAATAGAAAATATAGTTTTCCAAAACTTACGTTTAGAATTTAAATTAATTTTCGCTACTTATTAAGATGAAAGTAATGCTAACTGAGATTATTGCAAAAACAAAAGCTATACTTTTTACTAAAAACAAAATAGTCTCGTCTGCAGTAGACATTATCTACAATGTTATAAGTTATTAATTAATATTATTTCCACATGGCCAATACATTCCTGCCATATGGTAGTAAAATACTACTATCAGAAGTTCTGTGTACTTACTTACTTTTGGTGTTTTAATAAAAGTAACAATTATATGAGCAATTTATTTGCTTACATACATAACAATTTCATAGCTGTGTACTAAGAAAAACAAAAGATAATATTCATAACGCCTATAATCAGTGTTTTGTTACACCAGCTTTTTTGGTGTATGGAAGTTGTTTTGTTGAAATTAACAACAAAACCAATAAAATATTCTTCTTCGTCTTCCAATAATGAGCTTCCGTCTGGAAACTCCTCCACGTTTAGCTAGGTCCTGTCGATGCCGTGAATCTGTGATTAATTCGCCATTGATTTAATTCCACATTAATCAAATCGGCTGCAGCTTACAAAGCTTCCGTGTAAATAACCCATTGCAAAGGTAGTACAAGCTTGGTACATTCATTCACAGATGGCAATACTTTATAACCACACAAAAATCTGAATAGGCAAATACCAAGCATTCAAATTTTGTACGTTGTATTTAAAAATACAAATCAATACTATATTCTTAATACAATTTATTTATGTTTTCAAATGTCTATTAAATACAATTCATTACATTAACATATATATGTACAGATTTAGATATATCAGAAACGGGCCTTGTCCATATAGTGTTTTTTATGAAGTAAATTTATTAATTATTAAATAAAAAAAACATCATGAAATTTGTTGAATTTCCCATTGTTTTCCTGAGGCAAGTATTTTGTTTAAATCACCTTCGCCCTTGCTCTGAAATATTCATATAAACTATATACTTGTTAATATATCAGTAATTCTTAACATCTTAACAAAATAATATACAAATACTAATTGCTTGTTATCAAATCTCGAAATTAGCAATAAAATAAACAAGGATTTGAATAATAGATATTGAAATATATTATTTATGTTCAATTATTGAATAAGAAATAATTATCGTTAAATATTAGGCAAATATTATAGTAAACATTTATAAAAAAAACATTGTTTTTATTTTCATAATAAAAGAAAGAAATTCTTTACTATAGAATTAAAATCGCATTTGACGTTAATGTGAATTTGACTATTGTATTCACAAAGAAAACACTAATTTCGAGTGTTTCTTAATAATTAACGAAAAAAAGAAAGAAAATTAAGATGCGATACGAAGAGGAAACTTTTCATATAAACACTAATTTAATACAATTGCTGCATGCAGCTTCACGTGTATTACCGATTCACCACAATTTCGAACCAGGCGGAATTAAGTGGCTAATTATCTGATTGTAATCAATTATATAACGCTGATGAATCCGTATCGAACGCAGCAAATTCTAATACACCATCTAACACATAACCATTTCACTCAAAATTTTCTTGTAAAAATAAAATAAACAATTAAAATGTACATATTTTCGTACATATTTTAAATAATCATATTAGGTTTGGGTTTGACGTTTAAACAAAATAAATCCACTTGAACGAAATGAACAATGATTTTTAGATATTATTCATATTTTTCTTAAAATTCATGACTTTGATAGAATGAATTAAAAAAGCAGTGAAATTAATATGAAGACTATTAAAAATTGATCTGGAATTTTATCAGAAAATTTAATGGTTAAGTCACCCTACCCACAATTCCGTGGGCTCCGGTTTGAAATCCTGGCATCCAGGCCCTTTGTGAGCCCTCTCGGGGCATGCAGCAATAGGACGATCGTTCATCAAAGATGGACAGTCAAATGAATGAGGTTCAGCATATGGACCTACAACCAAGTCGATGGACAATGACAATGTTGAAGATAGCAGCAGATACAGAGACAAGTGGAATAGTGGAATCACAGAACATCAATATACTAAAGTTAACCTACAAGACGGCAGCCAAATTAAAGAAGAAAATAATGGTAAAAGTTTCCATTGGAAAGTTTACCAAAAAACCAATGACTACCGCCATTAGATTTAATTAATGTTTGCAGGAATGAGATTGTAAATTAAATATACTATGAAATAATAAAAAAAAAATGAATGAAATGATTCTGTTTCTGAGATATAATTCATTTTTAACAACATATTTTTCTTAAAATTCATTACTTTTATAGAATAAATGAAGTAGACAGTAAAATTAATATCAAATTGATCTGGAACTTTATCCTACAGAAAATTTCACACATACAAAGAGGAAATACAAATAAATTTCAATTATTAATATTAGATCAATACTTTTTATTCTCGCACTACAATAATTATTTTTAAATAGTATTTAAAAAATATAATTTTTATAAAAAAAAATTCTGTTATTATACATGTTATTTTTGTTTTCAATTTATATTATCTCTCCAAAACAATCATTACTTTTTGTGCATTAAAAATAAATTCTATCTAAACACAATGAATGCTATCAACAATCGATCTTTCTGCTCGACCAAAATAAAATTGTATTATAATTATGTATACGTAATATATTTTCTGAAGTAGTAATTTTCTTATTCATCTGATGCACTGATATTTTTATTTAATTCAATTATTATCATTTTTTCTATATCATTAACTTTAATTATTTAATTATTACTTATATTAGTACTTTAGATTTCAAGCATAATTTGCTTTGAAAACATGGTTGTATGATATAAAATAAAGAATTTATTGATGATCTTGAAGTAGTTTCCAAAGTAAAAATGATTTTTTCAAAAACCCTTTGAGAGTTTTGGTAATGGTCGTTATGCACGACATGCTAATTAAAAATTAGACCAAGTTACTCAAAATCCAAGATACAACTGTATTTTATTGCTTATTTAATATAGAAATCTTGATAAATTGGGAATAATACACAATTATTTACGTTCCATTTGAACTTTTCTTAATTGAGGCGCGCCAGAATTTCTAACATGTTGTAACGTTTTAGTTTTAATAACAATTATTTCCATTATATTACATTGAACTATAGAAATTTAATACTTCTTTTTTACTATTTATTATAGATTTTTTTTTAAATCAAAAAAAATATATTAATAAAACTTCATTATAACAAAAGTGAAGTAACAAATCTTTCGTAAATAATTATTTTAGTTTATTCTATAAGTTTAATTTTATATGATTATAAAAATAATAGAATTAGTTTATTTGCTAAAATCCATATTTTTTTAATAGACCATTGTATTTGGAGCACTTTAGAGTGAAATAAAATAAAAATGGTGTTAAATGCAACACAACGTGTTTATATTTTCCGTATTGAAATAAATCATTTCAAAATAAGACATGAAGACATGGAATGAACAAAACAGTGACTAATTAAATATGTATCTACAATAAAAATATATTTGTATGTAAAAGTGAATTGCATTTGCAATATTTAATTGAATATATTATTGTGAAGCAGACGGACACATGAATTGAGGCATTGTATTTGTAAATGATTCTTCGTACGGCGGAAAAACAATTACAGAAATTATTAGCTTGTTGCTTATAAATTGCCGTGTTTTCTGACTTGATTATGGGACATGTAGTCAAAAAGTTATGCAAGTTGGCCACATAATTATAAAGCACATGTCCAGCATACATGTGAGTAGCGAACGTAATTAACTATTAAAAAAAAACATCATAATTGAGGAAACAAAGCGTATTATTTTCAAAATCTAGATGTACATGTGCATGCATGTATAGACAGATAGACCAAATGTATATATAAATGAGTAATTGTTAGTGACCTCGTCCCCGGATGATGAGGATTTTGGTACTATATAATACCTCCTGGACGTCGAAAATGCATCAGTTGTTTGTGCTTCCAACATCCAGAAACAACATATTAAACCCTAAAAAAGTAAAATGAAGTATTTCATTGTTTTCGTTGCTGCGTGCGTTGTTGCTGTCAATGCTGCTGTGAGTAATCGATTCAATCATCCATAAAAACCATTTGTATTTAAAATATCTCTGCAATTAAAAAAAAAAACAAAACGCCAAAACCAAATCATTTTCATTTTTTCGAATGCATTTTCCAATGCATAATCCATGTGTAATGGAATTTCGATCACAACCAGTGTCACGTGAGTTTGCTGAGGGTGAGATTTAATGAAAGATCTGATCGAATGGAAATTGATGTAATTAAAATCGCATCAAAGTGTTGCGGGAGCAAAATCGATTTCGTATCGAATATTGTATAGATATTGAAATCGAAATCTCATTACAGTTCGATGAAGAATTCAAAGCAAAGGTCATCAAGAAGGTGGAGGAAGTCGGAACAGCATGTGCTGCCCAGGAAAATGCGAACGGAGGTAAATCACTATTCCATATATTTACGAAAAATCTAATCGATTTTCCGTTTTCGTTTAGATGATATTGCCGAATTGATGGCAAAGAAAGCACCAACCAGGAAGGAAGGAAAGTGTTTGGTCGCCTGTTTCCACGAGAAGTTCGGAGTGGTAAGTTCCATATTTTCTATAATTATTTTATAACAATTGTTGGATCAAAAATCGATTATTTGAAGCAGATTTTCATGAACTCACATTTATTTAATTATGTTTTGAGTAAGTAAGTGAATTAAATATGTATTTGTATAAAAGCATGTTCCGTGCAATTAAATTCGTGTTTCACATCAGTTGAGCCATCTGTTATGAACTGTGAAGAACTAAACAAATGTATTGTAGATTCGCGCAGAAAAATGCAGAAAATGACAAAAATATTTTTTTAAATATTTTATCCAAACAACAATTTTTAAGGATAATCATAATCATAAGAATAATTGTAATTATACGAATATGTTTATTAATATTATATTACTAAATTAAAGCAAGATAAAGATGGAAAACTTAGCTTGGATGGAGCCATTGCTTCAATTGAACCATTCAAGGCAGCCAATGAGGAAATTTATGGGAAAATGAAGCAAGTAATTGAGAAATGCATAGCTGAAGGTAAAATACGTCGACGTTGTTGCATGCATCTTTATCTGAAGTAATATATATTCTCTTGCAGTTGGAGATGCCGGAGATCGATGCGAAACCGCCATTAAGTTTGCTGGATGTGGAAAACGCGAAGGCGAAGCGGTATGTTATCTAATGCACTTATTTATTAAAACATTTCTTATATTCGTTTTATTTAAATATAAAGTATAATAAATAACATAACATTATAGCAAATGATGTTTACGTAAATGGAAGAAATAATGACTTTATAAATCTCATTTCATTTGAATATCTAATGCAATAATTATAGCATTATTGCACTAAACAACTAGTATTAATCTTAGTCCTTGAGAAATATTAATTTAAGTTTATTCGTAAACTCAGAAAAAGAAATGGAAATTAACGATAATATTAGTGTTTTTCAGTGTATTGTACAGCGCTAATTACTGATATGATTCATTTCTGTTCTAGCTTGGACTTAACGAATCGTTAATAATGTGAGATGGGTGGAAGAGCGGCTTCGATGGATACGCAGTGTTTCTATTGTATTTGAAAAGTGTTTTAAAATTATATGTGAAATAAAACGAGAATAGTAAAAATTGTTGCTTTTACACAAAAAAAATAGAATTCCCACACAAATTGAAATTATGCGAAATTTTCGTGCTGCATTATTGGTGCGTAGTATAAACAAATGATCTGGTAATTATTATCTGACCTTGCATACATGGTTTTGACAATTTACATACATCAAAGCAGTGACTCGGCCTTATTTATAAGTTTGTAAAGAGCTAGATTTTGTAGCAAGAAAATAATCTCCGAAGCGATAAGTTCTCTAACGATAAGGAGCACGTTTTCATTTATTCCAATGAACTACTTCAACATGCAATACACGAGTGGTGCTGCAGCTCTTGGTGCGATTGCAGCAACCGCTATTTATTACTACCTCCATCCAAAGAATGAAAACCTTATCAGGACATGGAAGGCCGTGGGGAACGTCACCAAACTACACTTGCATCCTCTGAAGAGTGGCCGAAGGCTGGAACTGACTTCCGCCGACTGCACGGATGTCGGTATCAGGCAGAATCCGGAGGACCAAGAAGGGTTACAATTAAGGGATCGGCAAGTAGAGAAGAACTTAACGAAATAAAAAAAATAATAATGTTTCTTCTATCCATACAGCACGTACTTGGTATATGGCGAGAAGAACAATGAGTTCAAGACGGCCAGGACGTTTCCTCAGTTACTTCTGGTTCAAATGTCTGTTCACGATAAGGATCAGATCAGATTAGATGCACCCGGTATGCCTACCTTGCTGTTTAAGGTTCCTACTAAATTGAAGAATAAAGAATTGAGAGTCAAGTAAACATTCCTTGTAGAAGAATAACAACTATTTGTTTTTAATCCATTGATTGCAGAGTACACCAAAGCGAAGAGATATATTCCATTGATTGCGGCGACGAAGCTGCAAACTGGATTTCCAATTATATCCATGGAGATTCGACACCAGGACTTCGCATTGGATATCACGATGGATCTATGAAACACAGAAGGAATATCCTGAAAATATACAAATCTTTTTCTATTTACAAGAATTTAACGAACAAATCGGCAGTGAGTAATTCGGTTATGTTAAATATTCAAATGATTGCATGATCGTCACAATTTTATTTATTTTCGAAGGGCCTGTACTCAGATTTGAGCGCAGTTTTATTAGTGAATCAAGCTTCCGTTGATGACCTGAACGATAAGCTTCGCGAAGAGAACCGCGTGGTATCCGAGAACTTCAGGTCTTCGATTACAATTGCCGGTGAGGGGGCTCCAGCCTATGCAGAGGATGACTGGGAATGGCTGAAGATCGGTGAAGCCGTCTTCAGGAACGTTAAGCCTTGCACCAGGTGCATCATGACCACCATCAATCCGGATACTGGAGTTCGCAATCCAGAAAGAGAACCATTGAAAACAATGGAAACGTAATACACACTTTCTTTTTATTATTTATTTATGTTAGGATCCGCGCTACGTTTATTTGTTCGACTATATCGTCGATTCAACAATGCTAATTATAAACGGAAAAATACCAATGTTAAATTATCTTATCGTGACGAGACATATCGAAAACAAAAATATGTTGAGCAATCCTATTTGCATGACTTATAAGCGACGATGAAATATATTTATTTTTTACGACATGTAATAACTTACTTTTCTAGGTATCGTCGGTTACGTGATATCAAAGATAACCCAGTTGAAGGAAAACTTACAGTGATGGGAATTTATTTAGAAGTCTACAAAGAAGGAACTATCCGCTTGAACGACGTCGTTTACATCGGATAATTTCTTAGTTAATATTAGTTTTAGTTTAGAATTACAAAAATTTCATTACACATTATTATATCAGAAATCTTAATCAAATTCACCAAAACTTCATGATCACGAAATAATTATGTCAAAATCATTATAATATTTTTTACTTATATTAAAAAAAATGTAACAGATATATAAGTAATCATTAAACTAATGTTATAGGTACCGTCGCTTAAAGAATCAAAAACCTAACAAAGAGAGGGAGATAATTACCACTATGGGAATTAGTATGGAAGTCAACGTTCCTGGAGTCATTCGTATAAACGATACTGTCTACATAGCATAAATTGCTTTTCTAAAAATTTTAATGCGTACTAACGCTTTGTCCATGTCCAATCATTAATACTCAACAATCGTAATCATTTTTTTGTATGTGCAACGTAATCATTTTTGTTTATGTTATTACTGCAATTTGCTATATGTTATAATTATTATTTTTACAAAGACAAAAAATATATATATTTTCTGTTAAATAAAGTTTTTTGAATTTAATTATTTGAGTTTCTTTGTGATTAGATTTGTAACTTCCTGGTGTGCATTATGAAAATAATCGCTGGCAGTGTTATCCAATTGAGCCATCGGTCAAATCGCATTGGTTTCAATTTCGTCAGTGCAAGAGTCCGGTCATCACATCGGGTTGTCCAGAGTTCAAAATGATACCGAGGTTAGCAATCATTGTACTCGCGATATCTGCAGCTTATGCCATCGGTAAGTTGAATTAGTATGCAACGAAGTGAATATGTTATATATACGGAAAATAAATAAATAATGAACGTTTTCTCAATTTTTGTTTTTTTCTCATTGCTATCTATCATTTGCAGATTTCGAGAAATCTTTGGGTCACATTAAGCCCAAAACAAGTGATTATGTTCAAACAGATGCCGTGATTGCTTTAATACAACGCGCGTTGCCGCATCATTACGAAAAATTCGTTGTTTTCATTAACCAATCTATTGCAGTTCAAGGAAAAGACGTTTTCAGTGTAAGTTATAACCATAGCTCAAATATCTATTTCTATCTTCGAATTATTTTCTTGTTTTTTATTGCTTAAATAAAATATACATTCAAAAAAAATGTATATTATGCACCAGTACCATTCTTAAAATTACATTTTTTTATTATTGTAAATCGATCGAAACGATTTAGCTACAATCAGAATATATGTCGCGTTAATTCAAAATTTAATTGTATGTTTGGTTGCCTATAGAGATTATCCGTGGCATTAATGATGATAGTTCTTTAATGATATAACCCATGCAACTGCCAAAATTATTAATAGATACGAGCTTAAAAATGATAATCCTTGATTAAATGTGTTATAAAAAATTACGAAACCATGTTGAATAACATGATTTTCTTTTGCTAAGATTATTTTGCCTTGCAATGAAAAACAACATTATTATTAACAAACTTTATTGGTTTCCAGATAATAAATACGATTTATAGAATTGAGCAAAAAAAAAATATTAAATGACTCTTATCCATCAACTGTGTATATAAGTATCAATGGTTTCAATTCAATTTTACGATCTATTGATATATTTGTAGCGTATTAATTGCTGTACGGTTTGTAAATAAAAATAGATCATCTCTTTCAGCTTCTTAAATTGCGCGATGGAAACATCTTGATATTGGGAACAAGCGGAGTCGCAGCGGCTTCGGGATTCAATTACTACTTAAAGTATTACTTGAAGAACCACATCGCTTGGCAAACTAGTTATGTTGACGTTTCCGAAGACCTTCCAAACATAAACATAACGATCCCGTTCAACGACAAGTATTGTGACGATGAAAGCACAATTCCGTATTTTCATGTTTATTTTTTAGGTTTCGATATTATCAGAACGTTTGTACAGCTGGATACAGCTTCACTTGGTGGACTTGGAGAGATTGGGAGAAGCATATAGATTGGATCGCTATGAATTCGTTCAATCTGGTGCTTGCGTTCAATGGCCAAGAAGCTATTTGGAGGGATGTTTTTATGGCATTAGGAATGAAGTCAGAAGAAATCGACGATCATTTCACGGGTCCAGCATTTTTGCCATGGTATTATATAAATTTGTCTGTGTGTGAAAAGTCAATTGAAGATTTTTCGTTGCAGGAATCGAATGGGAAATGTGAGAGGATGGGGTGGACCGCTTCGGGTATCTTGGCACGAGAGAACCGTACGGTTGCAGGAGAAAATATTGAGCAGGATGAGAGAGCTAGGGATTATCCCGGTGCTACCAGCTTTTGCAGGACAAGTGCCTGCTGCTTTCAAAAGGCAAATTTGCTTTAATTATATTTATAATATATAACTAATTTAATATTTCACTCACAGATTATTTCCTAACACTACTTTACACGCGTTGCCTAGATGGAACAATTTTAATGATACTTATTGTTGCCCGTATTTGCTGGATCCCACGGACAGTTTGTTCAAAAAAGTTGGAAATATGATTATGACCGAAGTAATTCTAATAGAAAATTATGAATATTACGAATCAATTAGTATTGTTTCAGACGATTCGCAGATTCGGCACAGATCACGTCTACAATTGCGATACTTTCAATGAAATGCCTCCAATATCGAGCGACGTGGACTATTTGAGGGCCATTGGCAGCTCCATTTATTCAGCGATGACCGATGTCGACCCGCAGGCTATTTGGTAATTCAATCAACTAATTAATTAATTAAATTCAGGGATGACGCACCTCGTGCTTTCGCTATATAAACGAACATTTGATTCTGCCCATTTTTGGAGATTTTCGTGTCAATCAATGTTCGAATTTGTTAGGGTAATGCAGGGATGGCTTTTCGTGCACGAAATCATCTTTTGGGATAGGAAACGAGCAAAGGCTTTGCTGACTTCCGTTCCTCAAGTAAGTATTGTTTAATTTAAGTTTTTCTATCTGCAGGTTAATGCAAGGATGGTTGTTTCACTACGACTCGGACTTTTGGACTCCCGATGCAGCGGAAGCTCTTTTAACAAGTGTACCCTTGGTATGATCGATAATAAGATTTCTCTATTTCTTTTCCTCGTCCGTCGCACATCTTAATCTAAACGGAGACTCTCTTAAACTGCGGATCTGTCTGATTTTCAAACTGCTATTAAGTAAATCACAGGAAGTCATTAAATAATTTAGTTTCAGTTCCAGCTGGTAACTGTATAATTAGTTCATTATACCTAAACAGATTCAGTAAAAAAAACCTGATATAAACGAACATTTTATAGTTAATCACGCATAAACACTTTATTACAAATTATCAGAAAAACTACTGTGATTATATCACTATTATTTAAGTAACTTTTTTTTAGGGAAAAATGATCATACTGGATTTACAATCGGAACAACACCCACAATACGGTCGATTCGATTCATACTTTGGACAACCATTCATCTGGTGCATGTTACACAATTTTGGTGGCACATTGAGTATGTTTGGATCTTCGGATATCATCAATCAGGTAAGAAGGAATCTATTTCTCAATTCGATGATAATTCGTATAATAAAATTAAATAAAGATCACATAATTTAAATAAGAGTGTAAACATTTTTTTTTTAATAAATGGGATATTTTTAAAATAGAATCTATACAAAATAAAGTTATTGCATAGACACTATAAATTAGCAGCGTAGTTATGATTCCAATTAATTGATTTACAATTTCTGTGAATTTTAAATAAACCATATCTAAATATTTTTGTAAAATTCTGCAAAACAATTGTATTATTTATTAAATGAATATTTATATAATCTTATTAAATAAAAGTGAGGTCATATTTTTCATGTCTTTTTAAATAAATGATTTGCTAATAAAATGTAATATTACAATAACGGTTTTATACAGTGATATCATCAGACTGGAATGTTTACCAATATATTTATACATATATGTAATTTACACAAAAACAAATCTAAAGAAAATGTATTTTTTTTTATAAATGATATCAACATATAAAGTTGTACGATTTAAATCTTTTTCAATGCGATTTTTTTTCTAGAGGGTTTTCGAGGCAAGATTGATGAAAGGCGGCACAATGATTGGAACTGGATTAACACCGGAAGGTATCAATCAGAACTACGCAATCTACGACTTGATGACCGAAATGTCTTGGAGGCAGGAACCCATCGAGGATTTGACGCATTGGTTCTCGGAGTACGCCCTGAGGATGTACGGCTCGGATGATGGCAATCTGCAGAAAGCGTGGCACGTTCTGCAAGTAAATATTTAGACTGGATTGACAACATTGAGTGGGTCATAAAATGATGGATTATTTTTCTTCTCAGAAAACCGTTTACAATTTCAAAGGATTGCAAAAACAACGCGGAAAATTCACTTACAACAAATCGCCGAGCACACGATTGAAAACCTGGGTAAAGTTGCAGTTTATCAATGCGATTGATGAATTAATTCATTCGAATACACACATAAACAAACAAAATGTTAGGTGCTAATAAATTTTATTTCGTAGACCTGGTACAGTCACTGCGAATTGCTGGAAGCTTGGGATTACTTCTTGGAAGGAGTTTCTACGACTCGCGCATATAACCATGACGTGGTAGATTTAACACGACAAGTTCTGCAGAATTTCGCTGACGAATACTACGATCGACTCATTGCCGGTTTTAAAGCGAAAAATATTACGCAATTTCGGTGCGTTTTTCTATAAATAGCATTGATTAAATATGTTACTTGTTATTGTTGCTTTAGGGATTCGGCGAATGTATTTTTAGAGGTTTTCGATGATGTAGAAAAGATATTGCGGACCGACGAAAATTTCTTACTCGGGTCATGGATCAACGCAGCTAAAGCCTGTGCACTCAACGATGAGGTGAATTTCAATTGCGAATCGCACCTCGAACGTTCAGGAATGTTTATTTTTATTGATTAATTGTGCTTCAGGACCGGAAACTGTACGAATTCAATGCGAGAAACCAAATCACACTCTGGGGTCCGAATGGTGAAATTAAAGATTACGCTAATAAACAATGGTCTGGTAATAATATTTGTCTACTAATGACCAACAATTTGTTTAATATCATATGATTATGTAGGTATGGTTTCGCACTTCTTCCAACCCCGATGGACCGCTTTCATCCGAGTAATGAACGAATCTTTGACAAAAGGAATAGAATTTAAGGAATCCAAAGTTGCCTATCAAGTGTTTAAAACCATAGAAGAGCCCTTCAGTTACGCACAGAACGTATTTCCAGACCAACCATTCGGTAAATAAGCTCGTTAATTACATTAAGAGGTCTCGCGAAAAACGCACACTCATATTACGAAAAAGGCATATCATGGATGGAATTCATTACGTAATTTGGGTCAGGCTGTAATCAGGCCTTAATAAATATTACAAGCACATCAAAGCACCCTTCCCAGTTATATTTTTTTTGCCAAGCCCATCGTGTCCAGTTGGCGTGTGTATCTGTTAAATTATTTCTGCGTTTCAACTTTCCGCACACTGTTTCGCGTATAAATAATTTCATATTCTCAAAGAACTTGCACACAATTGAACCGAAATGTATCTATACGTTCAGGAACAACAACTCGTTGCATCTTTTATTCACCCTCCTTTGTCTCCAACCACTTTATCTTTGCAAAAAGAAGGATTAATAATTTACGTTGTTTCCAGGTGATGCAGTGGCGATCGCGAAAGAAATACACCTCAAATGGAGAAAACGTGGTCACTGCCGGATGGAACGTTCGAGAAGTTACGAGAGTGAAGTGCGCGAAGAATTGTTAAAGCAGAAGGACGAAGCGCGAATCATTCTGGTATTATAAACATTGACTTATTCATTTACGAATAAATTTGATTTGATTTTTTTATTACTTGTACACAAAGATTTTTCTTAAACTGGTATTTACTTAAATATAAATAATTCATACGTATAGCGAGAGAAAACTGGTTAAAAGCCGCGTCGATTATATAATGCATTTATTCTAAGAAAATTTTCTTGCCTTTGATTGATTGAGAAAATCAAAATTAATTGCGTCCATTTGATACTTTAAATTAAGAAATTAATATTTATGCTTTGTACGCATTTCTCAAATAGCTTACGAACCAAATGATTTATATTGATATTTTCCTGATTTCATTACCTGACTAGAAACTATACTTATATGGATTCAGAGAACATATTTGGATTACACAAATTAACGAAATATACTTTCATTTCTGAACATTTAATCCTAAGTTGAATAATATAGGTACATTCCATTATATTGAATTATAAAAAATTAAAGCAATGTATGCAAACAAGCATGAAATGAGAGAAATGATCGTAAATAAAAGAGATATTACTGCGCTGGATGTTTCCATTGTGAGTATTGTAACAATGGTAATTACAAAGAAGCAAAGTCTGCCATCGTGTACGGAACCCAAATGGAACTTCTAATATGTCATTACTTGTCTTGTTACATGCATAATTAATTACCGATGCAGAACCCATCCATTTCTCTGTTGCACCGTTTCACATGAATTATTGATTATCGATTGCATTCATAATTTACTTCCAGGCTGCGAACGTACCTATCGTATACTATAGCAATTCACAATGTCCATTAAATCCATTGATTTCGGATGGGACAAAGAAGCGAACGTTCAATCGCTCGACCCTAATGGTTTCTCTCTCTCTCCCCGTTCCCCGCATTTTAATGTTTGTTTACATCAATTAAAATGTTGAATGAATTAAACATGGCGCGTAAGAGCGGTGGAAATTCAATTTCATCGTTGTCAGAGACAATGTATTCCGGTGTTCAGTGAAAGAGAGACTCTTATTTATATATGAAATCCGCGCAAAAAGTTGCATCGCATTCGATGCGTATAACTGGATTGGATGGATGGAAGAGCATCGAAGAAGAGAGAACTCGCTGCAGGAATAAAATGTCACCCCATTTATAAATCAATGCCTCGACTCGAGATTTTTCCATGAACGAGTATCAATTTTCATTTATTTTACTGCCGTTATTTTATGTGTTTTTTGTCGTTTGTTTTTCATATTATTACAGCATTACATGGTGGAAAATTCCTTTTCTTTCTAAGCCAAAACATGCGAACTGACAATTAAACCTCGAAACACTTAAACAACCGAAGATATATGCAAATCCATTTGTACTTGGCATTACTTCCATGCACGCGAATACCATTCCTAGACTAAACAAAACCATTATCAATTTGGACTGATCTGCAACATTCTTAAAGAGATTTTAGTATAACAATAGCCTAGAAGTTCAAAAGCGTTCAATAGCCTTTATAGATAGATATCTGTCAATAATGACATTATTATAAAAATTAATTAAACCTTAAAGTTTTAACACAAATTATTACTATTACAATGCAATTACTATGTATTATCGGCAACAAATATATTTTTAACTTCAAAAATGAAATTATAGTATTTCTTGATTATTGTATTTATATGAAACGAGATAATGTTAAGACGATTTACTCTAAATATAGTACTTTCTCTGAAATTTATTATTGAGTATTATGTATAAATTGTGCTATAATAAGTGCGTATTATTTATACATACAATTATAATGAACTTTAGACCCAATAACATATTTAATTATATATGTTATTTAAGTAGTAGCATTGAATTTTCCATTGCATTATTGATTCTTAATGTAATTTCATCATTATAAAATATTTCACATTAGTTTATAATCAATAAAGCAAATAAATAAATGAATATATCTAATATTAATGTAGCAAATTTTAAAAATTGGAAGAGTAAACTACCGTTTTAAATTATAATTAAACGCGATACGATACGCGTTGCTCAACTCCTGTAAAGTACTAGAAAGATAATTGCCTGTTTTAAATAAAATATTACCAACATTTATTGCCATGGAAACTATCACTTTCGTGAGTAACTTATCGATCAACGTTGAATGTGAATCGTGTGCGTTGGGCGGATCTGCGAAGAAGTGATTCGCGTGGGTTGTTGTTTTGTGTGAAAATACTCGACGGTGTTGGATTTACTACGGCTTGAAACTAGATCAACGACGGTCCGCGTTCTGAAATAAAACTTGGCAGTTGGGTTTGTGTCACGCAACAAACGGCAGTACGCATCTTCTTCGCAAAAAGGGGAAAATGTTTCGGAAGCGCAAAGTAAATAAATAGTTTAATATTCGAGCGAAAATCTAAATTTAACGTTAAATGGGTTGCGATGAAGTAAATATCGGAAGCAGATAGACGATAGGAGGAACTGCAGCAGCCATTATTTCGGTGTACAATTTCTTAGGCAGATTCAGTCGAGTACCGTTACCTCGCAGAATGTTGATGAGATGAGAAGAAATCCACTCTCATATCTGCAAGAGCGCGCTCTTTGTTTCTTCGGATGCTTCTGCGGTCCGTCTTGAATGGAACCATAAACTATGTTCACCTGCAATAATTTATCATTCAATTAAACATAATTTCTACAGAGAACAACAATACAATCCCCGCTCGCTATTACCTATACTGTTAATGAGTAACGTCTCGTGCAGATTCAGTTTAATGCAACAGAAGTATTTTCTAACTCCGGTTGAGATCGTCGCAAGGGCCTTTCCGGCTGGCCACTGCTGATGGCTTTAGGTTGCGTCTTCTATAGTACCTGAGTACCTGAGGACTTTTGTATGTGAATGTTATATACGCCGATGACCTCACGAGGCAATCGGAGCGCGCGTGTATTGAGGAGGACGAGTGTGTGTAGTATAGAGTTGGACTACAACTCGTAACCAGTTGCTCGCGCGATTCCCTCATAGACGCACCATTTGTTTTCAAATTTTCGAAATAGGAACTCTCACAATAACAAAGCTTTTTAATACGAACCTTATGTGCAATTTAACAATTACAAAGTGCTTTTAGTTAGTTAATAAGTGTCTAAATATTTAACAGTAATACGAATTATCTGGATTTCAACCGAATCGTTCTCGTTTTTCATCGACTTAAGGTAATTTATTCATTCATTCATTTCAGTCAACATATTCATTCATATCCCAAAAAGTATTTCCACCAATTAAGGAAATATTCGAATTTTTATTGTTTCAAATATTTTCTACACAAAATTCGAAAATGTATGTAGCGTGTATATCTATTTGAGTTTTATTGCAAATATATGGTAATAATATGTAAAAAAAAATAGAAAGTTGTTTTGCACTGAATAGAGGATTTTTAAGTACCTGCTAATACACAAACGAAGCAACAATTCAAATAAGTCCTTTTACAAAATTTTCAATTCGTTTCAATAAAGTATTTAAAAAATACATTTTCAATAATTGAATATCGTATATTATTTCATAATAAGAAATAGCGCCGTGTGATTAATCGTTAAACTAAATATATTTACCTTGGCAATCATTCAGATTAAAAATACTAATGATTCACGGACGCTCGAATGGAGTTAAGAAATTAACGACAATTGCAATCTCTTTAACGCAATCTTGGATACGTTTTAATATTAGTCTCTCGGAATGAATACAATTTTAAAATAATGGAGTCGTTCGCCATGACCTAAATTGGATGTTACATTTCGTAGCAAAAAAAAAGAAGAGAAGAATATGTGTCTAATTGAAGAAGAATGATGAAAAAAATACACGCGGGTTTTAGGTTAATAAAGTCGAAAATTTATGTTAATGGCAAATGCATGATGTCATTTCTTCGCGGGTGACTCTATTTGGTAACGGGAAGTGTCCGGCTATGATAATTGTTTGTAATCTGATGTTGCACATGGATTTGTTCGAAACGTATTCAATTATCATTGAATGGACTACTGTTTCCTATTAATACACATATGCATTATTAATAATAATCTAATATTGAAAAAAATAGAAGAAAGAGTAGTAGAAATTTTAGTTTAAATTTATTTTGAAACTATAGTAGAACGCCGCGCGACACAAACTATTTACAAGAACGCGGACGAAATGAAAAATAAAACAACTTAAAAATAGAATGGCAGGTCTTACGCCCTTGTTATTTGTCTTCTGCTTTGCGCGACACTAAAATTTAACTTTATTATTGTACAAACTGCAGAACGCTATTCTTTTACGACGATCCCTAGAGTTTCAAAGTCCTATAAAGTGTCATTGAAGTAATCATCATTTTAGGCTATAAACTTATCAGATCCAATTAGTTTATGTGTTTCTTCTTTGATAATAATTATCTGGTTTCGTAACTGCGGCTCGGACAACATGTAGAGTTAGGATGCGAAACGAAAACATTAAAGTTTCACAAACTGGTCACTGGACATGATGTCACGGATATTTCGGGGGTCCTCTAAAAGTATAAATTTGTCATAATACGTATGTGTCCCCCACACACACATACACGTGCTACGGCAGATTGTGAAGTCATCAATTACGGAAATATCTCCGTCCATCTGGATTCATAGTTTTGCTTCAATTTTCCTATCATACGTGTAATCCAATCCAATCGAATACAAACGCATTTGTGCTTTCACCGCACAATCCCACTATTTACTATTAAGTCACATACGATGCTAATTCCTGTGACTACTTGTGGCTTTCGTCGGGATTATGCGAGAGTGGCGCATGTTAAACGTGCAATTAGTGTGCGCTCTGGAACTGCCAAGATTATTTTCAGGTTGACATTGATGTTAAAGTTTTTTTTTTGCAAGAGCAACAGCAGTTCATTTCGCACGCTCTAAAAGCTTTTATTCGTACCATCCCTTTATTGCCTCAACTCCCCCAAAACCCTTGCAGCAAATTTTGATTGACGCATTGTTTGCACATCTCAAGTATCCCCGTCGAATCATCAAAATCTAGTCCCACTTTCGTAAAACTGGGTCAATATACATAGACAGAACATATTACGTGCAATTTGCCATCATCATCCCTACTTTTTACATTTTCAGTATTTTTTTTATATATTATTGATCCGTTGACCTATTAACTAACATTCTTTACATGCACTGCTGTAAATTATATCCCTTTCATTACTTACACAAATGGGCGTAACAGCTTCTATGATTATTATTTCCGTTATCACATATTCCATACTTTTTCTATTATATTCTTCATAACACAATGCTTAAAGTACGTCAACACAAAGTAATAACAAATAACATTACATTTATCTAGTATTATAAATATATAGTTAATTATACAATATTGAAAACTACTTATCAAAAACAATATTCTAACGCATAAGTAACATAAAATAATATTTGCTGGCTAAAACTAGAGCAAGACATTTTAGTGCACAAACACGATTACGGATAATTAAAGTTATATAGGCATTTCATACATATCAACTTTATTTTTTCATTCCTTTATTTTGCAAATGAACACTGCAGACTAACGAAAAGTTACGACTGTTATTCATCGTGGATTTACATACCCTTGAAATTAAATATTCACCCTATTAATACTTTCTCAGGGGATTAAAAGGGTAGATACTGCATTGTTGACCGTTTTCATTACTCTTTTTTTTGTAGCTGCAACTGACGTTCAGATATTAATCTTGATATATATGCACATAACTCATTTATGCAGAAAGTATTGAGTTTTACGTCGTTTTTAACGATGCACTCTTAACATACTGTTTAAGACCTATATTCTATAAACACAAAGAACAAATTGAGCATTCAAACTTAATAAAATAACATAAGACCATAGGTCTTTCCTAATTTCCCAATTTCCTTTATTTTATTACATTTTTAACAAAGTATTGTATGACAAAAAATAGTAATATATAAATCATATTTTTTAAGTGTTTAATAAACTTTAAAACATACATTTATAATTAATGATAATTTCATTGTACATTAATTGTTTTAACTTATACATGTTAATCTTGTTATAACGTTAAAAAACATATGACCTTAGTACATAATATTTATCTAAATCATTTGTTCTATTAACTGGCCTTTATATTGATGTTATTTCAACTTAAACTATTATCAATTACTCTAAGCATGTGTTTAAATATTCTTTTTTTAAATTATTTAATTAATTTATTTTATATATAGTAAAAGTGTATAATAGAAATGTTTCTATTGTTTCTACAGCTTGAATTCATAACTGATCGATGCTTCAATGTTTCTATAAATACAATTATACCTGTTTTCCATTTAATTATGCATTATGTAAGCGGCGAGTGCTGCTACTATTATGAAATGTAATCAGTAGAAATAGAAATAAAAGTGCGCACTGGAAGGAAACTGTACGCTCATAAATTATGTATGTCTGCAAGTAAACCTTATGTACTGGACTCCATTCATGGTGGCAATTATACCAGGTGATAATATCTTTTTATGTTGCCCCCCGTTCGCTCGAACGGAATACCAAGTGCACTTCTTTTTGTGCGTTTCCGCGCAGAAAGGGGATATTCTCACTTTGAAAAAAAAAATGGAAAGAAAGGAAAGAAGAAAGGACGATGTCGCTAAAGTGGTGTAAATATTCATAGTTGCTGAAAGTGTAATCCGCGAAGAACGGCAACAAAATACACAAAATAGAGATACTTAATCTGCTTTTGACTTTTGACACGGATCGATGATGTCATTGGTTATTTATAGAGAGAAGGAAAGAATCAAGAAGGCACACACTGTCCGTATTGTTCATTCTCTACAACGCCATTCTTTTGTTTTCTTCCTTTAATCATAAGATTAAAGCCATTCCATGTAAAACACGTAATTCATTACAACAGCTGTAATAAAAGTGCGTGTTCCAGTTCCACGCGAGTGTCCGCCACGTATATATAACTATCGATTTTACCTTTTTTTCTCTTTTTTCGTTGCTCGTTACCTTTAAAGCTACGCTATAAATTAGATGGACAGGCGCCGATTATGTACTACATTAATTAATCTAATAAATTTTCACACGAATGGGGTCGTATGGACGCAACACCACAATGGCAATGTTTCCAGGTTCAGTAAAGCGTGTAGCCTGGAAACACATCATATGGAAATCAATTTGATAACTCCCAAGCCCAGACGGTCAACAAATTGTTGTTCCAACGTCCTTCATTTTGTTTTCTCTATATAAAATTAACATATCTTACCTCATTCCAAAGCTATTACATTATACTAAAATAACCTTAAATAAAAAATATATGTAGACATTATTTCACCGGAAAAATATTCATTCATGCTAAGTTTTGAGTAATATCTTTGCGGTTATTATTAAATAGAAAAAACCGACTAATTATTGAACTTCATGAAATGAATAGAATTTCATAGTAATCGCGCGACTGTATTAATAATACGTAGAAGAGTATCGAATCTCTATGATAAATCATTGCAGAATAGTCGTTTCCTGTTGTATCTAAAATATTACGAAGCCATGACGGAATTCCCATTTCGTTCACCTCGGCCGGAAATGATGAATTAATTTTACAAGAAACTAATTACGTCACAACGCAATTAGTTTGCTATGAACCATAAGGAGAGGAAGAACAATACTACAAACAAAGACATGCGGTGCCTATTTTGGGATGAAAAACGAATGTTATTTACATATAGACGCTATTTCTTTACGCCACCCGCATTTTCTATTGGATAACACGGTCTAAACATGCGGCTCCGATTTATCATCGAATTAAATGTCAATAGATTTAAGGAAATAAATAAAAATTAATGTTGTAACCTCGTCGAAGAGTTTATAATTAACATCGTTGGCCTAGCCTTAAACCCACATCAGTCCCAATCCAATACCAATTCGAAGGAGAGAACAAACCATAGTAAACACATTCATAGAAAGCATTAAACGCGCCACTGTGTTGATGATGATGATGACGATGATGTAAGCCCGACGAGAGTTGCCGGCCTTCAACCTCTTTTACCTACATTGTGTATTCGCATTTATTACATTTTGAATTAAACACATTTTCCGTCGCTTGCAGATTATGGGAAACGTGTTACGAATCCACAGATGAAAGGAAAAAGCTAAAACAAATACTAAAAAATAAAATTAAAAATCATGAAACACATCAATAGCAGTTTGATATCGCTGAAATGCGTCCTCTTCTTGTTCTTCGGCGGAATGGGATGTCTGTTTCCGTTCCTACCGTTGCACATGACGCTGAAGGGATTGAGCGTGGAGGAGGCAAAGATCATATCGATAGTGGCACCATGCATTGCCCTCATCGGACCCGCCATTGCTGCTCCTTTGGCAGATAAATTAGCAGGAGGACCGGAAGGAAACAAGCGGAGTAAGACCGGAAGATATTTGAGAGTCATGATCGCAGTTTGCTTCATCCTGGCCGCGATTTTCTATTGGCTTTTGGCGGCTGTCCCTACGATCGTAAGTTGTTTGGATTCACTCTGAAAGTAGCAATTACAATAATCATTGCGCGTATCAGGTACGAAGCCCACCGAGCGTGACATTCACATGCGACCCTAACGGAGGTACCATTTTCCAAGAAAGATGTGGCGTCGAAAAAACTTGTTACAACTGGAACAGCGACAACGTGAGTATCAATTATTTCGAATTGTAAATGTTTTGATTCCGATAAAAAAAAAATTAAATAATTTCCCTTTGTCCGTGCAGCGCGGATCTCTTTTCGTGACCAATTGCCGGTTCACGTGTGAAAGTTCCATGGAGTTGACCAGCGACGTGACAACAATATATCCCGACCAAGACACGAGCGTCGCTTCTGACGAATACGACGAAAACGATTACAACGAGAATGATATCATCGTGGAAGACGATGAATCGTCTGCGGTAAATATATTTTTTTCTTCGTAATTATTACAAATTAATTAGTGATGCATTCCGCACATTTAGACCAAGTGCGATAATACCTTATAAACCATTTATCTTTTGCAGAAATCGCAAACAACGGATGAAGTCGTTCCGCATCCGCATTTGTGTTACACAGACGCAAATGGATTTGTGGTTTGCGAAGTTTTCACAAAATACTCGAAACCAATCGATCTGAACGTCAATCTATTTCCATCTAAAACTGGAAATGCCGAAGAAGACGAAGATACCATTTGCACTTATCCAATTGGTACAGTTCTAACACTGTCGTATCGAGTATCAATAACTAAATTACTTAATTTTCAGGTAGCGACTTCCATTGCCGAATTGCGCCAGAAGTGGAGAGTAATTTAACCAAAAGTACAAATTCTTGCCATCCGATTGTTAAATGCAACGTGTACGAACCGTACCGCTCGAAAAATATGTTAAAAGTTTCCGAATGCGGCTACAACAACATTAGTTTTTGGCTCTACCTCTTCATAAGATCATTCGCAGACATCTTCCCAGCTACGGCCGTGGCTCTCTTAGCTGCTGCAATCATTATAGCAACTAGAGAAACATCAACAGGTCGAGGAGACGTTGGCAAACAGTTGGCATGCGGAGCTTTAGGTTTTGCAATTCTAGCACCGATAATTGGAGCTATAAATCATCCTATCGTTTCTCTGATCATATTTTCAGTCCTTATGGTCCTAGCCGCGTTAATAATCTTATTCGATAGGTAAAAATATCCTACATAATGTTTACAATTATTTTCTAATAGTCGAATACTTTTAGTAAAATGCCTCTGAGTCCTCCAGAATGGTGGTGGCATACACAATGCGGTTTACTAGCATACCCAATGTCTTCTGTAAGAAAATATGGATTCGAAATCGCCGGTTTGGCTGTGGTTTTAACAATGCTCGGCGTATTCTGGAGTGCCATGGATTCTTACCTCCCATGGCGTGTGGCCGACTTATCCGGATCACCACTTTTAGTTGGACTCACCATTACTGCAGGAGCATTGCCCGCTGTTCCGTTCTTAATTTTTGCAGAGAAAATCGTCGACTACTGTGGACACACGAACCTTCTGATCACCGCCTTCACATTTTACATAATCCATTACACGAGTCTGGCTGTTATCGAAAACGCCTGGCTTCTGCTCATTTGCGAAGCCTTTGAAATATTTTCATTGCATCTCATGTGGACAACTGCCATACTTTATCTTCGACATTTAGTTCCCAGAAGATTCACAGTTTGCGGTCAAGCTCTCCCAATCATAACACACTTCTGCATCGGTAACACCCAAAATCCAAACATAATGAATACGTTTTTTAATACTTCTTCCTGTTGTAGGCCGCTTCATCGGAGCTTTGATTGGTGGCATTGCGTACTCCGAAAGTCATGAACAATTCATGCAAGTACACAAATGGTTCGCCGTTGCTGCAGCCATAATTGCGACTATTTATTTCTTATCCTATCACTTCTACTTGAAGCCCAAATGCGCGGCTCCGCTAGCTCAGCCTCCGAGGCCAGCTCCTGCTACTGTCAATGGTTAGCCAATCCAAAATACAACAAGATTATCTAAAGTACTAAACTTAATTTTGAATTCTAGGTGCCAACACCAATGGTTCTTACACTCCATTAAGAGTCTATCACAATGGAAGAGCGAAGAAGGGACAATTTAGGTACTGATTTTGCGTAAATAATTTCAATGTCACTATACATTATAATCCATAAGGTGTTCATTTTTTGTTATTTTCCTTTTTTATTTATAAATAATTTTATACACAAAACATATTTTTTGAAAATATTTATATGCACAATGTAAGGTGAGTAACCCAAAAAATAGGAGGATTCTCGCTGTGCATTGACCCAATTCCAAAATAAATTGAAATGAAAATGCAGCTTTAAATTTCGATGTGACACATTGTAATTATTAGTTTATAATACGTAATTTATATTATTTTAGGGACAATTGTTTTTTTTATATATATATATAATGTATATCTGCTTAAAGAAATGCTATTTTTATTTCACCCTATGATAATAATATATTTGTAATAAATAATAGACAACTTGGATTCGAAACTATATAACTTTATTTTCTATAATAAAAGTAACTCAATTTGAGTTTATTAAATAAATATTGGTCAATGCCAACAAAACAAAACATTTTCATATTTATTTTTACAAAACAACTGAATTTGCTTAATATGATTGGACAATAGACATAATATCGACTACACCATACAACATTTATTAGTTATTATTAAAATTATAACTAAAACTGTGTATTTACATTAATATATGTGGTTAGACAATTATATATCCAAGCCAATTTGATATACATGGGATATACTTCAGACAAAAGGTAAGTTGCTAAGTTTTCAAATCATAGAACATATATATATATTAAATATAATAAAATAAAATAATATTTTTTTTTTACTGCACTTTTTAATACAGATTTCATTAAGTTATAATTAAATATCTTTATATACATATGCGTTGATTTATTAAGAGCGACAAGATGAATTTTTAACATTTATCTCAGCAATTAATTTGTAATTATCTATAGACTAATATTGAGCATATAGATAAATACCAAGGGATGTAAATATGACTGTACTAACACATACTGATTATTATTATGTAGATAGATTTAAAATAAAATAATAATTATATTCTATTTTCTTTGCATAAACTTATAAAATGTTATATACAAAAATAGTATGTTTTGCTTTTAATATAAAATCAAAAATAATATACCCAAACAACAACAAACGCATTTTTTATGAATATTTCATCATCAATATCAGCACAACTTGATAATGTTGTTGATGAATCTGCCTATATGTATATGAACAGGGTTACTAACGTATTTAGATACTGTGATATAAAAATTACATTTCATGTATCACAATATATACTATTTGTTATGAATGATCGAATCATCACAATTACAAACATATACATATATGCAAATATTTATATCAATCTAACAGGAATTACGTCGTTGCTATAACCTCGATTGCAGATTCAGTAGTACAGTGTGCTTCAAGTGAAATTTCGCTTTCTACGTTATTGCATAAACCATTTTTACAATTTTTATCTTCTTCGCGACTTTCTGTTGACAAATTTTCCGTTCCAACACTTGCATTATCTTTTAAAAAATCTGCATCAGATTCCTTGCTTATCGAACTTGACGCGTTTTGTTGTACCTCTTTGTTATTCTCGTCTATACGATTTTGTAAATTTTCTTTACAGCATTCATCAATTGAAGACATCGTATCGTCGCTTGTCTCTGTATGTATTTTACGACCATTTACATTTGTCTCACAGACCGCCTGGTTATCTCCCGGTATTAATTCATTATTCTGACAATATTTTTGCGAAGATTCATTGCAGTCTTCTTTTTCTGTCGCCTGCGACAGATTTTTTAAACATTCCCTAGTTCCATTCTCGCACGAATCTTCAACATTATTTTCCAAATCAGCTCGCACAGATTGAGAAAGAATCACTTTAACGCTCATAGCTCTCTTGATTTCCTTTTCACTTAAATCTGTTCTCTTAGCAAGTTTCGATATTGAACTAACATTGCTTACTTCTTCACCTTCTTCTTTACTTCCATTTAACATTTTCAAATGAACTGTTTCAGGTTCATCTACAGATTCTATTAAACTATTTTCATTACTTTTATTTGTATTCTCGCCATTTTCAACGCCAATCGGTAATTCTTCATTCTGTGTATTTTTTTCTGTATCACTATTAGGAGTTTCTTTTTCAGATTGTACTTCTGAATCTTTTTCAATATGTTCTTCTGAATTGTTTTCATTCTCCACGACTTTATCCGTACCTTCTTGTATATCGTCTTCTCTGACTACAGGAATTTCTACTTGCTCAATCAGTTCTACATTATTCTCCGCATCTATTATTAGGTTGTCCTGTATAGGGATTTCGATCGTGTCTGGGGGCTTAATTGGTTCAATGTCATCATCCTCGTCAAGAATTTCTACAGTTTCAATTTCTTCCTCAATCAACTTAACATCGTCATCGTCGTCATCTTCTTCCACTATTACTTTTTCTTCAACTTGTTTTACTTCCTTAACAATCTTGTTATTTCTGTAGATTTTCATTAGTGAAGCAGGAGGTCGTACTCTTAATGAGTTATTAGTTACATGTAAATTACGCTGATCATTGAATAAAATAATTTCATTTTGATTTGCTTTGAGAGTAGTATTAGGCTTCGTCTTTTTCAAATCATCCATGAACTCATTTCGTAAATTTTTCCTGACTTGAATTAAGGAATTAACGGAAGTACTGAGCAATTCTTGCAATTTGTTATGCACAACTGCTAATTTTTCTACAGTTCCAGCACTTTTTTGCTCACTAGACAATAAAGATATTTGGCACGATAACTTCTCCGTAATATTTCCAACCAGTTTAGTGGCTTTCTCAAACCATGGCTGTTGTTTGTCCACTTTTGATGTCGGGTGAAAATTGTAGACATGAGAAGTTCGAGGCCCAACTTGTCGTATGGTGCGAGTCACTGGTAATGATAACTGCTTTGGAAGCGCTATGCGTAATGAGTTTCCACTCACCGCATTGATAGTTAATGGTTTCTTTATTGAGATTTGCTTCTTATTCTGCATTACGAGCACCGCAGCATTGTTAGCAGCCGGACTTCTTACAACGTTCTGTGTATTTTTAACCGGAATATTCAGATTAGGTTTCAATTGATTTTTTATCGGTACCAAAGCTGGAGCAATCATTCGCCATGGAGCAGACACGGGATTACGCACTTGTTTCGCTTTCAATTTCTTGTTTTGTTCAAGATTTATATCAAAAGTAACATCCGTTTCACTATTATTCCTTTTCCTTTTAATTGGACCTTTACTTACAGGTTTATTACAGCATAAAGTACAGTCTCTCTTTAATTCATCTACAGAGCCTCCTTGTTTAACAATCCTAAAAATTTAAACTATTTAGTAAATAAATTCTAACTATGAGCATATCCTGCATACTTAATTTTATCTTTGATATAATGGTACAAAGAATTGCATATCAATTTTAAATTGATTAACTGTTTTGGATTGCACACAAAACATTTCCAGTCATCACTGTCTCTAATAGAGTCTAGTGTCTTTTTTCCCAAATTTCCACGTACACATTTCTATAACAAAGGTAACAATTTTATATTAAATGATATATATTAATTTGTAAACCCAATTGAAAACCATATCAAACCTGACAAAACACAAAAGCACAATCTGAGCAGCACATAACTTTGCCACCTTGACCACACCAACGGCAATATAATTCACTCCCATCTTCATCCTTCTCAAAATCCCCACTTGTATAAAAATCATAACAACCTTTACAAAGCAGGACATGTAAAAGGGGATGTATAAACCTATTAAATTGATTGATAGGAGCTGAACCCAAATGTATGTTACATGAGGTACAATGCAATTTCATAAACTGAACTGCAGGTCCTAAAAAATGAATATTATTTTTATATATTTATATAAAACTGTAATTATTATATATAAATGAACATACCAACATTAAATAATGTTTTCTTCAAAGACTCTTCATGATCTGTGAGAGTTTGTGGTATTTGAGATACATCAAAGTCATCATTCTGCAGTAATACTGAAAATATATAACCGATAAGAATTTAAGCAAAACATCAAATCCAATTGAAATGTCAAAGTAACAGACTTACATTTGATTTTTTCATCTTCTGTTAAATCTTCATTTAAGTCATGAACACTCTTTCCATCATCATTGCTGCAGCTTGAATGTCCTATTGAAAATTAAAAATATATATTTTAAGTCTGCTATATGTACTATGTCAAATAGAGTACCAAGATCCAATGGTGTATCATCTACATCCATAGATATCTGTGGGCATAACAACTGCTCCATGATATCCATGATTGCTTGTTGCTTTCAAAATTTTGAATTGTCTCCAAAACTCTAAACAACTTCCTTTTAGGTTATTTATTATAAAACATTTGAAAATAACAGGAGAAACAGCCCCCTAGAAAACCTTCTTGATTTACGCGGGCACAATAATACTTTTGTTTATACTGAACACATCACATAACCTCAAATACTTTTCTTATACACTTTTAACCAGAAATTAAGGTATATTTTGTTCCTTTAGCACATCTGCAAATAAAACAATACCTTTACAATTCGTTAACGATAGCCCGAAATACTTAACGATACTTAAATTATTCTCTACCAACAGCTTATCTTATAGGAATTGTTTCCCCTAGTTTTATTCACTTAATTACTAAATTTGTTACTTGGAATTTTTATTGAAGATGGCGTTATCAATGTTTTCCCGCGCTTTTTAAACTTTTTTTAAAATAAAATCTAATTTAATTGCAGCAACTATAAAACAAACATGTTTTTATTGTCATGTTTTAGAAAAACTAAAATTTTATTATTGAGTAAAATATTTTTGTTGTTCAAGATATTTCATTCGTTTACCATACAGGTTCATGGCGTACGTCCAAATACGATTACTAGAAATGTTCTGAAAATATTTTAATATACCACTTCGAGTATCACTGTAAAACCACTACCCATTTCTAAAATAGGGCATTTAATTTCTTTTAATTTTATTATAATAATGTACATCAAATATGCAGCAAAATTGTGAAATATGTAATGATTACGTCATAAATCGATTAAACAGGTTTCCATAGCAACTATATAGGTGTTACTGGAGAAACTGAAAGTAACTTCATATTGTTCTTATTCGGCGTTTCAATTTGCTTTGATTGATTCAAAATTAGTAGAGTTGTCGAAATTTGTCACCATGGAAGAACTTAAAGATAAAGGCATGCCGCATACCTCTCAGAAGATCTGCGACTCCATTCAAAAACACCCCTCGTACATTGGTTTCATTGAAGAAGTGCAGGTAAAGCACTGTTATATAACTATCAAGGAATAGGTATTATATAGATATTGGTTTTAGAAATTGGTATCTAGCTCCAATGTGAGCGTGAACAATTTCAACGAAACATTAATGAAAGCAATGCGCGAAAAAGGAATCGAGTGTCATATGAAGAACAACGTATTTCATTGGGTTGCATCGAATAAGAAATATAAAATGGATTCCCCGATAGTCGACTTGGCATTTTTTAAACGGGCCCAAGTTCAGTGGGACAAGAGGATTCACAAATCATTAAATTCGATGTGCTCGGAATTAGGAATTACATTGGCAAGGGCGCGGTCTTCACAGGACAGGGAGGAATTATCAGAAAAATGGGGAGAACTAAGTAATTATGATATCGACGTTAGCAAGTATAGACCTGTATATGCGCCAAAAGATTTTTTGGAAGTGTTACTTCATCTGAAAAGCCCAAACTGCAAAGTCTATGATATCGATCCTAATTGGGAATTCGCCCATTTACCAATTAAAGTTAAAGATCTCCCGGAATTGGTAATGCGAAATTATTAAAAATCAAATGTTATATAAAAAATATTTTTTAGAGGCAACATTATGGCGAGTTATCGAGAGGCGAACAAATTTTAGGAACTCATACTTATGGTACACTTTTCGAAGCTGAACGAATTCAGATTGGAGAAAGAGTGTTAGCTCAACACTACGCTCCAGTTGCTCAAGAGTATTTGAAACGTGGCTGTCCAAAAAATTTGCGCTCCGAGATGTGGTCTTTAGTCCTTGGGGCTGACATAAATATGATTGTACCATATTTATTTTAGTTTATCAAAAAATAAACTGATTGATTTTAGCAAAGCGAATATTACGAATCGTTGAAAAACCACACGCTCTACTACGATCTGATGATAGACAAATTAATAATCAAGGATATCCAATTAACGGCCTCGAATGACGATCAGTATTTTGTTTTCGAAGATGTTCTATATCAGGTAACACCATTATTTGTGCAATTCTTAATGGAAATGCACGTAGTTTTTAGGTGATGTTATGTTTCATGCGTGATGGCGATATTTTGAAGCATATTTCCAGCCAGCCAGGTTACATGCAAGTTATTTTGAAAGGAAAGCAACCTACATCAGAAAACACAATGACTTTTCCGCCTAGCGGAGTAATACCGTTTCACGGTTTTACGATGTACGCAGCACCTATATGTTACCTATTCCAAGATCCGTTGAAATTATACTACGTTTTTCGAGCATTTTACTTGAGATACTGGCATAGACTGCATAGAGTATGCGGCCATGAGCAAGGAATCGTGTCAATATGCTTATTGTTCGAAAGGCTTCTGCAAAAATTCGAACCGGCACTGTGGCACCACTTTCGGGAAATTTCAATATCTCCGTAAGCATCAATTACTATCATACCCTAATAATGATTACAAAAATATTTTTTCATAGCATAAAAGTGGTTTTTAAATGGCTGATGAGAGCGTTCAGCGGTCATTTGCCACCAGAGCAAGTATTGCAATTATGGGATTTAGTTTTAGCATATGATTCATTGGAGGTAATTGCTTTATTGGCTGTAATAATTATGATCTTTAGGAAGGACAATTTACTGCAAGTGACTACATTAACTAATATCGAATCAGTATTAGCTGATATTTCGTCGATAAATGTTATACCTTTATTACAAATGGCATTATTAAAATAAAATTTTCTGTTTACATTTTATTGCTAATAAATAAATAAATACATCAAGTGGTTATATTAGTAAATTCTTCAAAATTCCATCAAACCCTCATCATCTCTATTGATAGGATCTCCCTCTAACAGTGAAACAATCATGCTAAAATATTAAAAATATAAAGATCCATCAAAATACTTGTTATAAATTATAATCTTACCAATACAGATATCCAAAGAAAAATATCATATAATATCCTATGAAAATCATACAATCCCTTAAATGCCTCTTCAATTGTCCCCTGCTGTGAATTTCTGTGGGATCATACACACCCATATTACCACATGGGGTTTTAATTATATCATATAGCATCCAAGCAGCTATTGGTAAATTGATAAGTGATAAAATCCAATGACCATGAATTAATAGTAGAAATGTCAAAAAGAGATGTATTCCTAATTTTGGCTTCACCCAAACATTCAATTTTGAGCAACATTCTTGGGCATTCAAATAATCTGATTCCAAATCTGTTAAAATTATCACCTGATAAAAATATTAAGTACTATACCATGTACATGCAGTTGCCTATTGAAACAAAAAATAACGAAATAATCACGATGTAATTAATAGAATTATACGTAAAATACTCATGTATAAATTAATAATAAATAAATGTCAGTTACAGTATTGATGATATGCATATAAGTAGCAAAAAGGATACATAGTAAATCTGTAAAAATAAGATTAATCCGCTAACTATTAATGAAAATGCGAATAACAACGGATCGGATAGAAACATTTTAAGTTTCGATTTAAATTTTTATGGCTTTCTTATACACTCAAACCGAACCAAATTAAACTGACTTTTTAGGTTAGAAATTTGTTACCGTTTGGATGGATTACATTAAATAGGCAACTTCGTATTTTTTTAAATTCAGTTGAAATGTTTAAAAATACTAGAATCGCTATTTCTACTGAAATGAAAATACTATATGAAATACAAATACTATGTATCTTATACTTTCTTTTATGACTTTAAATTAATACAAATTGTATAATAAATTGCCTAACTTTGACTTTCCGGAATTGTCAATATTTGTTTATTCAAATATTTACTGCAGATTAAACATTGCGTTTATTATTATATAATTAAATAGTTATATTTACAAGATTTTAATATAATTAACATATTATTTATATTATTTTATACTAGATAGTACAGTATTGAATTTAACTAACAAGTTATTTTTTTGTAACAAAATACTTATTTTTACGTAAAAAGACTTTTTCAATTAATTGAGACATTAAAACTGAATTTTCAGAGTTGAAAGCAAAAGCGCCGCCTTTCTTAATATCGAAGAACTCAATTCGACTTGCATCGTCTGACTTGACAGGATTTGTCCAATTTAAGCAAGTTTCCTGCAATTTCCCCTGCCACTGTTTTAACCAATTTTAACCTTATACATCGTTATATATCTTCCGAATTCTCTTACGCATTCATAGGCTTTTAGAATTGTAAAAAAACCAGTAGGTCCAATCTTGAGTAGTTTAATTGTTTCCAATTGTGACTGTCTAGAACAGTATTAGTCCAAGATGCCAAAAAAGAAAACAGGGCAAAGGAAGAAAGCTGATAAGATGAAAATGAGGCAGAAGGAAATTCGAAATGCTAAAGAAAATGTGCCAATTGCAACACATCCATGTAATGCAAGTATGGAATGCGATAAATGTCACAGGTACATAATTGAAAAATTGCTTTGATCATTATACTAATATAATACTATTAACATAACTTGCAATTCATACTTAGGAAGCAAAGGAGCCGTGCATTTTGTTATTTTTGTCAAAATGTTCAAAGACTTCCAATATGTGCACAGTGTGCCAAAATTAAATGTATGAAGGGTGGTGATTGTGTTATCAGGCATGCGGGTATACATGCCAGTGGATTAGGCATGGTGGTATGTATAAAAATAGGTAGCAGTAATGAATTTTATAATGAAATATTAATTTTGTTAGGGTGCAATTTGCGATTTTTGTGAAGCCTGGGTATGCCACAGTCGTAAATGTCTGCAAACACATGCATGCACTTGTCCATTGCAAGATGCTGTATGCATTGAATGTGAGAGAGGAGTTTGGGATCATGGTGGTAGATTGTTCAAATGTTCATTTTGTGATTCATTTTTGTGTGAAGATGATCAATTTGAACATCAAGCTTCATGCCAGGTGCTTGAATCTGAAAACTATAAATGTAAGAATTTAATTATAAATACTATAATTGCTTTACTATCATTTTGATATTTTAAGGTCAATCATGCAATAAGTTGGGGCAATATTCTTGCTTGCGTTGCAAGACTTGTTACTGTGAAGATCATGTTAGGAGGAAAGGATTTAAGTATGAAAAGAACAAATCTATACCATGTCCTAAATGCAATTATGATACTTCGCAAACTAAAGACCTTAGTATGTCGACTCGTAGTCATAAATTCGGTAGGCAAGGCCAATCTGGTTTTGGCGATGATGATGACGATGATGCTGGCTACAGCTACGGTACTTCTTCTTATACCAACTATGAAGATGAGTCCGATTACAATGATAGTGACGAATCTGAGGAGTCATCTACGGAAGAAGATGAAGAAGACGACGACGAAGAGGAGGAAGAACAAAAATGAAATAGATTTTAATGTAATAATTTCATTTTGTTAATTAAATAAAAACACATATATTTCATTTCATTTAATTTTATATACAATCATAAACCAGTGTTTCTTCAAATGTAACGTTTTATTATTTTTAAATTTACATTTCATTTACCATTCTTAAAAATGTTATGAAGGAATCTCATTTATTAACTAAGATATATTAAATATTGTAACTGTTTTTATTTCAACCTTTCAATATAATATAAACAAAAATAATTTGGTATAAAAATTATATTTCTATTAATTCGTTTCATATATAAATAATTATTTAAAAAAAAGAAACTTATTAAAAAAAATACTTATATATAATAAATTGGTCATCTAAATATGATTAAAAATATAATGTAGATCAATTTAGTTTCAGTTCAACTAACATTCTGAAAACTACAATGAAATATCTGTACTATACTAGTTAAAAAAATATAATCATATGGAAGGTCATATGTCTGTTTTTGATTTTCTTCGTATTTAAGGGCTATATGCTACTAATTTATATTGAAAATTTAACAAAAACATAACCTAACAAAAATAATAAAAAACGAACAATATAATAGTAAATTATTTATAAATATATAAATCAATCTATATACATATTAAAACGGTTAAAATGATTTTAATAATTACAAAAAATAAAATAAATGGAGTTAGTAATCATGGATTGAATAAATTACCAGGAACATACATGTTAATCATCACTTATTATCCTTTTGTATTTCTTATTTGGCGGTTGAATATTCTCATCTTCCAACATGTCATAAGCATACTCTGGAATCCATTTTTCTAATTGCTCATCAAAGAATTTCTCCAAATTCGCAGCATCTGTATATACTTGTGAATCGATCTACGTGAATAAAAATCTCGTTAAATATCTTAATAAAATAATGAAAATTGTATGAACTTACTGCATTAAAGGTATATGCATTTTTAAACATTAAACGAACATCTTTTACTAACTGTTCTAGGGATCCGTATCGGTTAGGAGAAGACCAATCTAACTTATGTCTAACCGTATCTAAAGCTATTGGATTCTTAATAATTTCATGGTAATTTATATTCTGAAAGTAAGATATTAGATGATATTTAAATTTTTCTTTGTGAAACTTACCTCAACTCCAATAATTTCTCTAAAAGGAAGGCTAGGTTCATACTGACAATATAATTCTAATATAATTCTTTCGGCCACTTTCTTTTGCCTAGGTGTAAGTTCATTTTCCACGTGTTCTTCATTAGTATCAGGAACGTCGGCGAAATTCATGCACAAGAGACATTGCCATGTATCGCTTTCTTCGACGCTCAAATTTGGAATGTGGCAAAATTGATGAAATACCTTCGGACATTTGTCACAACAGACTAGTTCTCCGCCGTCCATGCACACAGCGCACCAATCTTCATTGGGATCATCTTTTCCAATTTCCATTGTTTCATTTTTTGATTTTCCACTCGTTAATGCGTCTCCTGTAGAGCTGTCTACGTGCGGTGAACTACCCGTTTTCGGTCTATTTTCAGCGAGAACCTGAACTCCATTAGAATCCAACTTGGCGATGGTTGCCATCAAATCATTCACAGAATCTGCACAAAGTTTATCCATACGCGTTTCTGCTGCTCCCTGAAGGTGATTCGGACTTGGGGTTTTTGGTATCGTCGAAGTTACAGAACTTTTGTTAGATTCCAACAAATTCGGTTGTTGCGATTTTAGCATTATTTTAAAGTTATTGTTTAATGTAGGCATAGTAAGCGAAGTTGATAAAATATTTCTATTTTCATTTGTTTGTTGCGGTATGTGCCATTTCTGAGCTCTCTGCTGTTGAAGTTGCATTTGCTGTGTTTGTTGTTGCTGAGGCGGTGTTTGAAAATCCCTAGTAGCAGGTCTCAATGGCATATTTTGAAGTCGCTGAGGTGGTTGTTGTTGTTGTTGATGCGTTTGCTGTTGTTGCTGCTGCTGTTGATACATTGGTGGTCGCTGAAATGGCTGTGTATTGAAACGGTTTTGGAACTGTTGAGCATATTGCGGTTGTACTGCCTGATATTGGCCTGGCCCAGTTTGGACATACACCGCATTACCATTAGGTTGCAATAAGCCCCGCAAATTATTTCTATCTTGCATCATTCCCTGTGGATGTGTTGACGAAGTCACCTAAATTTGTTTATTAAATTGATTTTATAATTCAAAATGATCACTTACTTGTTGATTATTTATCCCAGTGGCGGGGTGTATCCTAGATTGCAGATTCGGTAGAATAGGTCTTAATGTTGGTCGATGCATTGGCAATCTTTGCATATTTTGATTTAACTGTTGAGTTAGTGCCATTGGTGGTATTCCACCCATAGGACCTAAACCTTGGCTTTGGCCTACAAATTAAGAATATTAGAATAAGTATATATTTTTATTGACAAATGTTTACCTTGATTTGGACCACAGCTGGGTCTGGTCTGTCGTAAATTTCTGTTCATTGATGATGAATATTGATGCTGTTGTCCGTATGGTGTCAGCATCCTAGTTTGAGTGTAAGGTGGCGGAGGCTGTGGTTGTTGTACAGCGTGCTCCTGCTGTTGTGAAATCATTTGAATTGGATTTGGTGAATTTTGCGGGGGCATAGAGTTCGGAGATGGAGACTGCGAGGGAAATACTTTTCCATCTACTATAATCTGACCAATACTCGAAATAACTGAAAATAAAATTAACTATCAATACTTTTGCAATTTCTAATGACTATTTAAATCATAATAACAAAAATGTTTATTAGTTTATCTAGAAATTTAAAAGGAGATTTATTTCTATAGGACTTTTTGCAGGTGACAATTAACCTGTTTATATTAATAACCCGATAAAAAAGTTTCTTACCGCTATTTAATCCTAAAGGGTGAAGAGTTATCAAACATAAAATAAAACAAAACATATTAGATAATATGAATATTTCTGCTAACCCCTTCAGAATCAAATATACATGATTGCTCAAAATATAATGCCTTATTATAAATATTGTTGATCCCAGAAACTTTATATATCTTCAGCACTTACCTTACTTATGTTTACAATACAAAATAAAAAAATCTATCTGAAGGGGTTCATTAGTTTGTACATTAATAAAGAAGTTTAATTACCTTTAACTAGATCTGGTACCCTATCAAGAGCTAAATTAATTCGAACTGGAACCTCTGGGTTTGGAATATCTGCTCTGCGAGATTTAATTCTCTGTAGATGACATGTTACATGTCTCTTTGAATATAACAAAGCATTATCACTGCCATTTTCAAGCACTTTCTGAGTAAAATCAATGCAATGATCAGTAATCTTAGACAAATGATTTAATGCAACTTTCTTCTCATCTAAAGTTTTCTGTTTTGTATCACAAACTTCATTCAATCTTGAAACCAATTGTTTTCCCCTCACATTAATGGTGTGTGTCAACCTAAATAAATTATTTATGCATGTGTTTACTAAACAATATTACAATATTTACCGAACTACAAGATTTGTAATTTCCTGTACAAGATCCTTCTTTTTCCTAGATATTAATGTTTGGCGATCTTCAATTACTTGCATGGCACTATTTAATAAAATTTTCTTATATCTGAAACAAACATTGTTACTTATGTTTCTCATATTATCCACAAAAACAACTTACGTTATATCTTTCAACATTGCTTGCATTTGTGATCTAGAATCATGTGCAATCTCATGTGTGAATTTATATTTGTGATCCCGATGTTCAGTTAACTGACAATCCCGACATGTTAGTTTATCGCAATTCTCACAAAACAAAGTTAACTTTTCATTAGGATGTTGTTCACATAATAAATACGTAATTGCATTGTTAACATTGTTCTGACTATTTATAATGCCATCTTCCTTTCCTTTAATTGTATGATCCTTTGTAATTTTTAATCTTTGATGTGCTTGTACACAATTATCACAAATGAACTCAGCACAATCAACACACCAACTTGTTGCTAAAGCATCGTCAGAGCAATTGCTGCATTTCACATCCGTTAATTTATTTATTTCGTCATTATTTGTAGCTTCCAACAGAAACTGATTGTCTATTAAATGTTTTCTTTCCATGAAATATCCACAGATTGGACATTGAAATCCTAAAATTAAATTTTTTTAATATAATAAGTTTAAAATACTATTAATAAATACCTTTGTGGTGTGTCGAACTTGTTTGAGCATCAACTGAACCTTCATATAGTTTTTGCTTGACACAATTACCACATGCATTGTGGAGGCATTCCAATATCTTCGGATCATCTTTAGCACTTAGCAATTGCTCACAAAAAATACACTTAAAATGGAATGATTCCTTTTCTGCTGTTGTGGGACTTTCAATGGATTGTCCCAAATTTTCTTCTGCTTGTGGAGACTTTTCTGGTTCTTTCTCCTGTTGCTCATTAAAATCACTTGAGGGAATCACTGAGACTATGTTATTTAAAGTCTCGATAGCAGGTTTTACATCTGACAAGATTTCCTCTGCCATAGCAGCTGATGCAAATTCCTGTAAGTCCTGCAATTCCTGCATAAAGATATCTGAATTCAGTAGATCAGCCATTTTTTTTTCTTAGGTTAAAATCCTTGGTTACAATGTCAACTGATTTCTCCTTGTAATTAGATCAGTGACCTAATAATTTCGGTGTCTATAATACATTATGTTCTGGAGTGTTCTTATATTCACTCACAAAACATACGAACCCAACTTTTACTTGTACATTGGTTAATTCTTTATTTACTCACAACTTTTTATACACAAGAAAACAATGGAATGGATGACGCCTCCGAACAAACTGTCAATGCTGTCATAGCATTGCTTCCATTGCAAAAAGTATTGCCAACGCAAGGAAATATTCTTAACATGTTTTTTTTTTAAACTTGTTACTTTTATTAATTTTCTTATTTTATAGTAAATTGTTTAATTTAACGAAAAAAACGTACATTAAATTAATATATATATATTTACCTGTAGAATATTGTAGCCAGGTGCGAGGTAAACTTCTTAAAATAAGCTATGTCTACTATTAAAATAAATAAAAAACATGAAGAAAAACAAACAACTTCCAATGTTCCTATGTAATAGATAATCGATACAGCAAGTATATTCGCATTACCTTTATAGTTTATATAACGATAGAGTCAGCAATAATAGTTAGAGTAAATAGAAGAATAAGTTATGTAATTTGTCTAATGATTAATATTGAAGAAAAGACGTACTATTATTGTAATGATACAATACTTACTATATCAATACTTTCCTAACATATTTAATTCAAACAAATGTGTTGTGACAAAATAACATGCAGTTAATAAAAAATATAAAACCTGGAGTTGCGAGCTCTTAGAACGTTAAACCTTCTTTCAAATATATAAAAATGATATTCAACAGTAGATAAATAGAATTTACTAAATGTCAGGTCGTTCAATACTAAAAGTATTAAATATTGTTATGTCTTCTAGTAGTAATACCAACATTGACATGTATATTATTGATTTCTGGGTATATATATATACGTATATATCCTTTTGATTTAATATCTTGAGGTCAACAGTTGTTGTTACAACCTGCACGACAGCATTTTCATTTATTTAAAGTTTATACAGAGTCTCAATCCTTTGTTTGTAATTTACTATAATGCTGCTTCCACACTATGCATGGTATGAACCATAAAATATGTCAAGAGTGCCAACTATTAGATACATATAGCAAGGGGCTGCACAGGATAGGGTAAAAATTGAACGAGTGGTATGGGCCAATGGGCATTGTAGGGCATTGTATGCATGGTTTGGATAGAAGAAGATTTTCATACGAAATTGGTTGAATTCTGAACTATTCGGAAATGTTTCAAATATTTACTTTGCGATCATAAACATTTTTATGTAATTTCAAACTTTTTTGTCTATGTTCGCTCATTTGTATTTAGCCGTTTTGAAGAACAAAGCAAACACGTGCAAGTAATGTGTCTAAGTAAAATTGAAAAAAAAAAAGTGAGGGCCGATAAACGAAAAGGGGTAGAAATAAGGCCAATAAATAGAGTAGAGATTTATACTAATAATAAATTGATATAAATCTCATTATAATTTAAGAAAAAGAGTTCCATATACTCCATAGCTAGTCACGCTACCAACATCAAGGCCAATCACTGGGTTGTTTGTGTTTGATCCAAGATTAGATGCCTTCTAAGACGCGGGTGTTATCTTAAGTTCTTTTGGTTGCTTAGGCACCAGAGAATACCAGAAATCGAGGAGGCGGATGAGCTGGCCACAGATTGATATTTTCTCATATATTAGGGCCTCTTCAGGATTGGAATGGTAGCGAAAGCACATATAATTGAGTCCTATACTGTGGCCTCAATAGGACAGACAGTAGTTCGAGAGGCTGGGATTCAGCAGAAAGGCGGATATTGCAAGGTTGAGTGGCACGAGGTGCGGTTATAGGCGGGCTCCGGTGCACCTGGCCAGAGTTGGTTGGGTGGACTCAGACAGGTGTAGTTGCGGGTCGCTGGATCACATGTTCTTATCGTGTGTCAATAACCTACTAGCCTCTAAAGAGCTTTATAGGCAGCTGCAGGGTACTAGGGTTTCCCTAACAACGTCTATAAATTGTTTGATAGGTTCAGAAAACGTTGAAGTATATAGAATTATGATACAATATAATATCATTGCGAGGTTTTTCCTTGCACACGGGTTGTGCTGAATTCCGGAAAGTTCGGTTTTTAAAATTGTTTTTGCTTTATTTCAACTTGTTGTTTACCATTCTCTCCAGAAACATACCTTAACAGCAGTAAATAATTTTACTGCAATTGCAATTAAGTAAAATTAAAACAAAAAACAGCCGGATATCCTCGCACGGAGGAATATTCCTAAAAGGTATAATTACAAGGAAGCTGGGAATTATTATATTATAAATAAAATATTTTCAAAATAATATAAACAAATATATACTTGATACACAATATAAATAAAACTCGGAACAATTGTTTATTATTCTTATAAAGTATTTATTACAAATAAAGGGAAAAGGTAAATGTTAATGTCGAACTACGTAGAAAAAGGAAACAAAATAAAAAGCATAAATCCTTTTTAATTTATTTGTAATAATGATTGGCACACATTCTTTTACAACAAAGGGTTATGGCAATGTTTCTTATTATTTCATTTTTTTTGTACAGTAAAAATATTCATCATTTAAATTAGAAACACAAAAATGGTTTAAATAAAATATAATACAAATACTTTGTTTTGTTTGCTATTCATATTTTTTTTTTCATCTTCTCTTCGTCTCTTTTGATTTCGATACATATTTCAGCAAGTTGACATTGTAACAGTGTACATCCAATAAAAAGACATAAAATATCAAGAATGTTTCAGCTTATCATTGTTTTTATTCAATTAAACGAAAACAAATATTCGAAATACTGATCGAGAGTGTAAAAGTTGAAAAATCATGTGCTCTAAAAAATTCCACTTTTTAGCCCAATTAATTAATATTACTAATTAATAATAATATATCTAACAATACAATACTTTTAGCAATTTAATTTCATTTCATTCTTTTATTTTATATACAACAGTGATTTTATATTATTAATTATTCTTTAGTTTTATGTAAAAAAAAAATATTTGTTAAAATATAATAATAAATTACTGCAGCGTAAAGTATTCAATGTATGAAATACAACTTAATTACTTTGCTTTATTTTCGTTGTTTTTTTTTTTCAAATTTAATATACATATATTAGGTTTTTTTTCTTTTATTTGCAATATTATAGATGTTCTTCCCAATATGCCTACAAAAAGCATGTAATTCCAGAAAAAAAAATAAATATAACTGTATATTCGTTCTACGAATTAATTTTGCTCGTTGGAAATTTGTTGTTTATCACAGCAGTTCCAAAAGAATTTTTTGTTCTAAAATAAACGTCAAAATTAATTCGGCCGAACCAATAGTGTCCTTTTTCGCCTATGGAATATAGTGTAGATTTTATGTCCTACCTTAACTATTAAAATTTTCATTATTTGTTTATTATTTTCATTCTTTTATTATTATTATTATTATTTATATAACCATTTGTGCTAAGTACATCATGTAATAGTTTTTTTTTATTATCATTATTCAATTTATTGTTTAAATCAGTTGCCTATTGAATAGAGTTGTTGAGGCAACAAGCGCAAAAATCGCAGGAACTAATATTACAATTTTTGTTTAATGGAAAAAAGTTATACAATTATTAGTCTCATTGAACAATATCACAATTTAAATATTGCAATAATTTTGATGTTGTTTAACATAATTTTAGCTAGATATGCTTCCATTAGTGTGTTTGTGTGTGTGTGGTTATTCATTTTTTTTCTTGTTAGAAGTTGTTGCTTTATTAATTATATCCAAGAGCCTGTGTGTTACTTATTTTCGTTTTACTAGCTTGCGTATCCCATGGCAAGCTTTGACTAGAGTTCTGGAGATATATTCTTTTCCGTTTGCTTTTTCTTCTTCGTCTTTTTTTTAAAATTATAAGTAGAGAGTTTACAAATTTTACATTTATACATATCTGTAGAATAATTCCGCTGTCCAACAAATGGTATGTGCGTTTCCTTGAAGTAGTAGATCTCAAATTTAATATTTTCTCTATATGGAAGGCACATACTACGTGTTGTTAATTTCACTAAATTACAACCGGCAATACAGTATAATAAATTTACGTAATCTATATATATATATATTTAAATTCATTTATTTAAATTGGGTTATTTGAAAATGTTGAACAAGCTGACTTAATCGATGGCCCGCCTAAAAAGACTAGGAAGACTTTTAATTATCTTTTTTTTATTCGACACACCTAGCAAGCATCAGGCAAGATTAAAGAGAGATATATAGTAGATATCCGTTTCGTTTTGGTTGTTGTTGATGTCGTTATTGCTGTAGTTGTTGTTGTTATCCATTTCAATATTGATGTAGGTGTTTCCATACTTGTGTGTTGTGTGTTTCGTGTATTGCACCACTTAGTAATAATTATTAAAATATTTAGTGTCCGAATCAGGAATGTAAGACTGAGAGATTGTCCCATTTTGCACTCATCCACTCACCGGAATGGCTCAACCCCCTTTACCAACACCTTTAGTCTTGTTGAACCCCATCGAGTCACTGATGTCGAAGACATCGTCACTACTATTAGCCACTCTAAAAGCTGCACTATATTGTTTATTAAAGTCACCAGTTTTGAGTTCAGCCAAGGCCACGGAGGAGGCCACCACACCATCATATCCCACTGTACGTGCCGTATTGTCATCACAATGGACACTATAACTGCAGCAAAGCATTCCGTCCTGTGGAAACAAAACAAACAAAACCGAACGTTAAAACTAATTCCATTCTCACCTTCCTGCTCGCTCTCTTTCATAGCACTCCCACATTTTCTGCATATTTTTTTCTTTCGTTCTCTTAGCGTGGAGAGTGCAATTTCTTCAAACTCTACTGATCGCAAATAAATTTGGTGCCAGAACGTCTGGTGCTCATCTATTTGTGTTCCAAAATAGACTTTTGTGAATTTCAAATGAAATTTCATTTTTGGAACATACATTCCCGATTTTACAGCGCTACTCATTGCCAGAAGCCACAAAAAAAAATAATGAAATCAATATAAAACTATTAAGCAAAATTTTGATGAATTCAATAAAAAAAACGAAGGCGAAATCTAAAATAAAATAAGTTCGCAAATACCTCCATAAAAACAGTATTTAATCGTATATTTCAATAAATAGTTGTTCATTAACGAAAAAAGGCGAGATGATTAATTTTCATAAAAAATTGAATTATTAAAATTTGAACAAAGCTCTGGCTAGAAGTTTCGGCGAGTCTTTTCTTAACCCAACGAATTATCATCCAAAAATGAAATTATTTGATATAGATAAAATGGTCAATCATACCTCGAGTGCATTATATCTTTTCATAAATTAAAGTAAATTGTATGTTTAGAAATATAGAAAAAACAAAGAGATTTAATTTAGTTCATCAAATGCACATGCCACATACACACACATTCATTAAAATATATCACATTCAAAATAATAAAAAAAAACTAAATACTAAACATGCAAGTAATATTACGTAAATACACATCTATAGAGTGCTGTGTCTGTAATTGTTCGAAATACAAAAATATTTAACGTAATGCTTTGATTACCATATATTCATGTATTTCTTGTATCTTGTCTGTTTTTTGATATAAGCAGATGAAAATAATTTGATTCATCCTTTTATTTCTTGAATTAGTGATGTGAATTAAAATTATTTTCAAATGTATCAATTGTACTACTGAAAATAAAAGAATAGAAAAGTTAAAGAGGAATATGTCAGGCAATAGAATTTAAATAATAATAATAAAATATTTTAGAGGCAGGCACTACTAGAGGTGTGTATATAGTATATAGTTTTTGTTATATTGTATTTATTTTCAGTGTAGTTAGAGTGATGTGTTTACCGATGCACACAACACGCGACATTGCTCACCAGTTGGGCGCAGAACGGCACCTGGAAGGGAAGGTAGTGTTAATTGTTAGTATTTGCCTAGCTTAGCCCGCCTCAGGCAGCCAGCATCTAGCACTACCCAGTAGGCTAGCCATGCTATGTATTTATAATTAGTACTAGTACCACACACGGTTTAATCCCAAACTACGCCGAATTGAATGTAATGATATCAACGTGGATTGAGATTAAATTAGAAGAGCATCGTTTATTAATTTAAATGGGTGTTCTTGAACTGTTCAATTAGAATGAAATGAGTATGAAAGAATGAATGGTAAAATGTATCGATGAGACATGTAAGGCTCTAAAAAACGAAATGAAACAAACTTAAAATAATAAAATAAAAATAACCTGCGCCTCTAAAGCGCTAAATGCAAACAAGCTTCTTTTATTAGTTGTTAGTCTTATATGACAATCACTGTACCTGATCGGGTAGATTAATACAAAAGGCATTCTCAGAGTAAGATTAGGATTTTATATCTAGTTTAATTTCAATTAATATATATATGTAACTTTAATCTTCAGATGGGACTATAATAGGTTGTTGTATTTGGCTATTTTGACTCACCTGGCAATTGCATTCGGTACAAGGATCTTTTGGATCCGTGAAATGAGCACCGGACTCGTACAGTCTTCCTTTGATGATGCAAGGGTTTCCCGATTTTGAGCTATTACCAACGGAGGAGCAGACGTCCCCGCATCTTGGGCAGCATCCGCCTTCATCTTGAATGGGATTTGCACAAGGCAATTGTGGACACTTTAGATCCCAACAATCCACCTCGCCGTTAAGACATTCGCACGTCTGACACTGGTAGGACCAACGTTCTCCGTGCATAAGAACGACATTCGGTAACTCCTGATGCTTACACGACAAACTTGGGTCGCACTGTGGGCAACATTTGTCCCTGCTGCTATCCGGCAAAGAGCAATTGCATTTCGGCTCCTCGCACTTCATGACGCCTGCATTACAAGTGCATTTCTCGCAAGATTTTCCTGCTGGCGATAACGAAAGCCCATCCGCTACTTCTGTACCTTCAAACATGCAGCTTAATCGGCAGTTAATGCGATTGGTGCAGTTGCAGGAGTAACCTCCTATATTGTTTACGCACTCAGCCGATTCATGGCATGTGTGTAAATTAGTTTTGCATTCATTTATATCTATAAAATGATTAACGAATATTAGCAAGAATACGTATGTATTTAATTTTGGGAATACCTTGACAAGATGTGCCGTGAGTATTATTAACGAATGTGCTGTTGTAGCCTGGTTTGCAGGTGCAATAATACCAGCCGATCATGTTGACGCAAATGGAAGAATCTGTGCATCTGTGCAAGTTCAGGCTGCATTCGTCCACGTCTCTTTCGCAACTCGGACCAGTGTATCCATTGGGACAGGAACATTTACCGGGTATTCGGCATACACCACCATTCAAGCAAGTCTGCTCACAAACAGCTACAAAGTACGAACGTATTAACCAGTTAAGGATGTTTCCGAAGAAATAGCTTACGACTGCAATTATATCCATCGCCGGTGTAGCCTTCTTGACACACGCAATGGTAACTCCCTTGAGTGTTTATACATTTAGCATTGACATCGCAGTTCTGCTCTCCGGTGATGCATTCATCTAATTCGATGCAATTGAATTTATCCACCCTCTTATAGCCGGACAGACACTCGCACGTATAGGAACCAATAGTATTTACACATTTCGTGTTGAGGTGGCAATGGTGACCATCCAAACCTCCTTCCTGTTTGCACTCATCGACGTCTAGTTACATGTTAGGAATATTAGTCACAATATATGGAATGATATTGATAATGTGATGAAAACAGTTTAGTTATGATTAGAATATTGTTTGTTATATTACCATCGCATAAATGTCCATCTCCTTGGAAGCCTTGATCGCAATGACAAGCAGAAGTAGTTTGAAGGTTTAGACAAGAGGCGTTAGAATGGCATATGTGTCCTTTAGCGCAGTAATCAACCTCTGTTAAATAATCCGAGCGAGCAGAACCCAAATGCAACACGCAGTGTTAGTTCAATTTTAGTATAAGCATTAATAAGAAGCACATTTTTTTTATAAAATTATTAATTAGTTAATTAACTAATTAATTAACGTTAGCTTAGGTGACTGACCTGCACAAAATTTGCATTTGCATTCTCCAGGAACGCTGTACTGTTTCTCAGGTGGACAGGTGAGCTGCGGGCACGATTGCTTGGAATCCATGTACACACATTTCATCGCGCCATCGTAGCATTTGCATGGCACGCATTTCTCCGTATACATTTGATCGCCGTGATCATAGAACACCCCCCTGAATTTGCACTGTTCTAAGGAGAAGAAGAAAATAGAGAAATATAAATAATTTTGTTAAACTCTAGTAATGTGGCATAACTAACTGAGACACGTTTTGCAGCATTCGCCGGTCTTGTTAACGGGATTCGTGCAATTTAAGAATGGACAATCCACGTGCTTGCACTGCACTTCCCCTTGCTGCAACAGAAACAAACATTCGTAAGCATTAATCTGTAAATTTCAAAATTAGGATCTGTACTAACCACGCAAGTGCATATATCACAACCTTGATGCCATCTTGCGCCGTCCGCTCTGACCGTATCGTTGACCCAGCAGGATTTCTGGCAGTCGCACTCCTCTACCTTGCTGATCCTTCCTTCAGCTGCTACTAACTGCAAAACAGAGAATTATATACAATCAAAACAGTGTACTGAACGCATAAGGGACGTTACATGGTAGTCCATATACCCTTTCGGAAAGATCCTTAAGATGCTTCGTCAGCTCCTGAACGGTGCTCTGCAACAACGAAAACTGACCACATGTCGGACACGTCGCATCGAGGCTCGGACAGAGGGAGAGGTATCCGTGGGGTCCAGCAATCAGTCTTACATCCTGCATCGCACCCTGCAACAAACCAATAAACACTTCAATACCACTCCACCATAAAAATAAACACAGAACATCAAGCTCTCAACACTTCATCCAAGAATCCATTTACATTGGCGTCTTCACTTAAAAACATTCACCACTTAGCTCATATGCTATTATTAAATCAATAAATCGAACATTTTTTTTATAATAATATATTATTATATTCAACAAACTTTAAATATCCTACACATATTGTCATTGATCTTTTTTAATTGTATTTTACCCTTTTTATATAAAATAAAAAATAAATTACCCTGCAAAATTTTCATATACCATCTTCAAATATTTAACTTCTCATTTATTGCATTAACTTAAAATATATAATAGAAATATAATTTAAACTTTGTATATTTTACTACAGGCAAATAGTATCATGAAAAACAAGTTACGGTAAATATACTATAAAAATGCAAAATGAATTTAATTAATTAGTGCATTAAATATATTATCTGTTATCAAAGTTTTTATTAAATATATTAGAATATATAGATTTATAGTTAATTTCATTTCGAACAAATAATAAATGAAATAAAATTTTATTTGGCTATTGACTTTTACTGCTTATTTGTTTGCCAAACCGGAATCTACAAAATGTGGGAACTTCAAGAGCTAAAATGGAAAAAGTTTGATTTCTTTAATTGTATTACAGCCGAAGCACACTTTTTCCATTCAGCGTTGAAGTATTGTAGCTATAAAATTGCTTCTCTTATTGCTAGAACTGTTCGTGGTTTCAACCTCCAAACCATTCATTTCAGATTATCTTAATCTACTTTATATCTTAATTGGTTCAATATCATATTTTTTTTTAAACAAAACTTGAAAAGTTACCTGAACATACTTATTTTTTAAAAGAATGATTTAGATTTTTTTTTGAACAATTAAAATTTAAACGTATTACCAAAGCAAATACGTATGTTCTAATAAGCACTTGCATTTCTGTGTTATGGATTTGTGGTAACAGTTCATTGACTGTGCGCGCACTTTTCAGTAATTAATTCGAGCAAACACGGTTTTCCAGACCTTTTTCACAGCGTTCAAAGTAAAAAAAAAATGTAGGTGTATATATAATGCAACGTTGACCTGACAGTAATAAATGTATCGCTGCTAATGGCTTTTCCAATAATTCATTCCCTGTCAAATGATTGTGAAATGTGTTAAAATCGAGAACCAGATGCATGGATCCATATAATAGCCAAAACGAGTTCAGTTCAATTGAATAATTAACAAAAACATGCTAAAACCGATCAATACTAAATGAAATCAGTCATTGAAACTATATTCATGTTAACCCAACCCGAATCCACAATAAAATTGATAAAGTAAATCATACCTTTCATTTAATTATATACATTAAATAATTATTAAATATGTAAAATAAATGAAATAATAATTATTGTCACATTTATATATAAATATTCTTTATATTTTTTTTGTAATCAAATTAATTATTGATTTTGTAATTAATGTAAAATGAAATTGTATGTTCTCCACTTAATCTGATAAACGTTTCGTTAAATAAAATATGAATTTAAATGAACATTTTTTTACATGGTACAAAGATTTTGAATTAAATTAATTCCATGTAAAACCAATAGATTTAATAAAGTGGATAAAATCAATGTTAATTATTGATTCTAAGAAATTGATTAATTTTAATAAAGTCATTTTGTAAAGATTAAAATTAAAAAGCTATAAATAATAGAAAGTTATTAATTTGGATTTATAGATACCTTGAAGTAATAATGCTTGTTCCTTTGACCCAACCATAATTCCTGAGGACTGGAGAAGTTTCTGTCGGGAGCGCCGGGTCTTAGGAGCCTCTTGTAAAGCGGATGACAATCTACCAGCAGCTCTGCCTGCGATCCGCTCACCGACAAGGCAACATGATGCCATATGTTATCATCTAATTTGTAATGAAAAGTCTCCACATACACTTTGGAGTCTACACGTGAAGTGTAGTGCAAGCGAATCTCGTTCTTCCTGCCGCTGGATTGAAGCTCCAAGAAACGCTTGTTCTCATCGGCGAAGCTAACTATCGTTCCGATATTCCCAATTTCCTGCCTCAGCCATGCAGAAATCGTGAACTCGGGACTTCTCCGAATCAATTCAGTTACTTGCTGGAACGCAGAAGGTGGCAATTTCAGATCCCTGTAATCACCTGCAACGAAAAAATGCACCCATAAAGTTTAATGTATGAGAGGTTTTTTTTGAGTGGATGCGCCTGGTTAGTAATTTCCTTTTTAATTTGCAGAAATCGAGTTTTACAGAAACGCACCCAATTTACACAATAATTTCCTGTCTAGACGGACCACGATAAAATCATCGTGCGCAGAAAGTGATCATTATATAAAAAATAAATTTAAAAAGAAAATGAATTCAATTTCACACACTCTTTTGAATTATGCATAAGTTATACTGTCAAAAACCCTCCGCCGATATATTCAAATGGTATTCGATACATCCGGTAACATCTATAAATAGTTCAATGATCCTTGCACGTCCTGGTATTTCATAAGCTTCAGAAATATTTATTGCCCCCCCAGAATTGTACGTATAAATAGGGATGGAGCCTAATATATTAGAGCTAGAGAAAATGGGGGGAGAAGTCAAAATTTATGGCGCGTGGCAATTATGTTGCATAACAAATAAATCAAAGGGTA